TAGAAAGACTGGTTGCAAATGGGAAAATAAAACGCTGAAATTAAACTAAGTATGTTTTACAAATATCTCGTCTTTGCTTTCTTTTTTTATTTAATGAAAGTGAATTAATAGATGTGTGAGGTATTTAACCTTTTACCCAGGGACCGCACTTCACAGATGTATTCTGCAGTCATAAGTGGGGACAGGGTGATATGTGTGTTGGTTAAAAAAGATGGTTCCCCCATACTATGGAATACTACACAGCTATGACAGCGTGCTAAAGGCATTCTATGTGCTGATATGGAAAAGATCTTAACAAAGTTGCTAGGTGAAAAAAGCAAGGTGCTGAATGTTTAAAACGCTACCTTGGAGCATTTATTGAAAAGCTGGGGGAAGATAAGGTTTTGTTGCTTTTTTACCGTTTTGATTTTTCAACCATGTGAATATGGAGCCCAGTAGAAAATTAAAAAAAAAACTTTTTCTTTTTTTTGAGACGGACTCTCACTCGGGAGGCTAGAGTGCAATGGCACGATCTTGGCTCACTGCAACCTCCACCTCTTGGGTTCCAGCGATTCTCCTGCCTCAGCCTCCCAAGTAGCTGGGATTACAGGCGCACATCACCACGTTAGGCTAATTTTTTTTTTTTGTATCTTTAGTAGAGATGTGGTTTCACCATGTTAGCCAGGCTAGTCTCAAACTTCTAACCCTGTGATCCACCCGCCTCAGCCTCCCAAAGGGAAAAAAAATTTAATAAAGGAAATCAGAAATTACAGGTAATACATTTAGGTATGATTTTTACATATAAACAATTTCTAAGTCTAAATAAGGGATCTAAAGACTCAAAGAAAAGGCCTTGGTGCTAAATCAAAGTTTTGGTGAATAAAAATACATACATGTTTTAAAGATAAATGATTTAAGACATGCAGTTTTTTTTTTTTAAGATTCCCAACTTTTGGCCGGGCGCGGGTGGCTCACGCCTGTAATCCCAGCACTTTGGGAGGCCGAGGCAGGCAGATCACGAGGTCAAGAGATGGAGACCATCCTGGCCAATATGGTGAAACCTCGTCTCTGCTAAAAATAAAAAAGTTAGCTGGGCATGGTGGCGCATGCCTGTAGTCCCAGCTACTCAGGAGGCTGAGGCAGGAGAATTGCTTGAACCCGGGAGGCGGAGGTTGCAGTGAGCCGAGATAGTGCCACCGCACTCCAGCCTGGCGCCTGGTGACAGAGTGAGACTCTGTCTCAAAAAAAATATAAAAAAAATAAAAATAAAAATTAAAAAAAAGATTCCAAACTTTTATCTGATTTTTAATTAACTACTAATACTGAGCGCCCTGCCTGAGAGAGTCATCAGGAACTCAGAGGTAATAAAGGTAGGACAGTCACCTTCTCACTCCACCAAGTCCCAGGATTCTCCAGGGCCTGCCCCTACAGGGAGGTTGGGACACCTAACAGCAGCCAGATCTCCAGTTGCCAAGGTGGGGAATTTGGTTTCCCATGGCTGGGCACTCTGGGCTCCCTTGGGCAGGGCAATTCTGTGGCTTGCCTGGCCTCTTCTTGTGCAGGTCAGAGGTTCCCAGCTTCTGCAACTCTGCCTCTGCCGGGCCCAAATGGGGGCCCCCTCTGAGAGGCTTAATGCGCAAATGGGACAAGACAGTGGGGCTTCGTGACCCTGTGTCCCAGGGTCTGCCCTCCTGTCCCCTAGGTGGGCATGAGGCCCTTGGCTGGTGGCAGTCGAGGGGACGGACTCTGGACTCCTTATCTCCTGGCTTTCCACCAACGCGCCAGCCTCGAGGTCAGAGAAGTCCCACTACAGACATCCTGTGAGTCCCAGCTGGGCTAAGCAGCAGGCCCCTTCCCCGCTCACTCCCCAGCCTCCCATGTCTCCAGGGAATCTGAAAAGAGAGACTCATCCAGGAGAAATTAACACCCCCTCTCTCAATAATCACAGGGACAAATGGTCCCTTCCTCTTCTAGTTTTCTTTTTTTTTTTTGAGGCAGAGTATAGCTCTTGTTGACCAGGCTAGAGTGCAATGGTGCCATCTTGGCTCACTGCAACCTCCACCTCCCAGGTTCAAGCAATTCTCCTGCCTCAGCCTCCCAAGTAGCTGGGATTACAGGCATGCACCACCATGCCCAACTAATTTTGTATCTTTAGTAGAGACGGGGTTTCTCCATGTTGGTCAAGTTGGTCTCAAACACCCATCCTCAGGTGATCCACCAGCCTCAGCCTCCCAAAGTGCTGGGATTATAGGCATGAGCCACCGCACCCGGCCCTTCTGTTTCCAAGCAAAGCCTGGAGGCGTCAACAATTTCATAATCACATTTAGGATCAAAAATAGAACCCTTCTTTGGTCTTCTCCATCAAGTCTCTTGGCCACTGGCAACCACGTGATTCAGGAACGCCAATTTACCTACCTGGATCCAATTTCTTTCAATGTAAAATAAAGGGATGGGACTCCAAGATCACCAAAGCCAGAACATACAATGGTTCTGGGGCTCAACAACAAGGCTGAGCGTTACCTTCGCCAGGTCAGGTGGCAGCAGGCTATTATTCTGGCACAGTAGGGAGAGGGAAGTCCTGGTTCCCAGGCACACACAATCTATCCACAGCACTGCTGTGTAAACCCCACGATTCTGCAAATACTGGACATGCATTGAGGTTCCTCTTGGAATAGTGCAGGGTGTGAGCAGGTAAGGAAGGAGGAGGAAGGGAAGCAGGGTTTAAAAACAGAACCAGTCCAGTGAGTGATACGTATCCTACACACACGCACACACAACGGTGCCCACACACAAGCACACACGTACCATGCAGGCACACACTGGCTTGTTACTCCTTCCCGGCTACCATCAGCCCAGAGAAGGGGCATTTCTTCTCTGAAGAAATCAGAGTAGCTCCCAGAACTAAAGGTGGAAAAAAATTTCTTTTCAGTAAGATTGCCCAGTTGATCTGTGGGACAACCCCTGGCAGGCCATGGAAAAGCTGCCTTCCCAGAAGGGCAGGAAAATTACCTCCATTTTGCCAAGGAAGAGATGAATCAACCCTATGTCCGGCCTCACACCATTCCTACAACCCAACCCAACTATCAGCCTCTGGGACCCCTAAATAACCCACTCCACCCCACAAAAATGATGACGATGAGAATGATGACAAGCCCTCTACTATGTTCCAGGCAAAATCACGACATCCCGCAAGCCAGTGAGAACACAGGTTAACAAATTTCTCACTGCTGGAGAGTGACGGGGCCAGGACTTGAACAGAGACCCACCTATCTCAAAAGCTTTGAATTCCTCCGCCACGGGCAGAACCGTGTCTAGGGGGGTGCTGGCTCTCTGAACTGAATTGTGCAGAGAGCACAGAGGCCTCTCTTGTGTTGCTATCTTGCTCTTCATCTGTGGATGCTGTTTCTCCCCAAGAGTCTGCACTGGAAGGGTGGTGGCCAGGCCGTCTGCATGCACCCATCACTGCAGAACCCAGAGACCAGGCACTGTATACCTACGTGCTAAGTGTCCCAGAGCCCATAATATATATATATATATATATTTTCTTGAGACGGAGTCTCGCTCTGTCACCAGGCTGCAGTGCAGTGGCGCAGTCTCGGTTCACTGTAACCTCCATCTTCCGGGTTCAAGCGATTCTCCTGCCTCAGCCTCCCGAATAGCTGGGATTACACCGCCCCCCAGCTAATTTTTGCATTTTTAATAGAGATAGGGTTTCACCACGGATGGGTTCGATCTCCTGACCTTGTGATCCGCCCACCTCAGCCTCCCAAAGTGCTGGGATTACAGGCATGAGCCACCTTGCCCAGTCGAGCCCACAGTTCTTACTCTGGTCTAAATGAAAAGGCTGATGATGCAGCTGCCCCCGCTGAAAGTCCTCAGGTCTGCGGGTTCCTCCAGCCTCTGCACTGGCTGGCCCGCTGTCAGTCAACACCTGGATCTTAACTCCCCCTTAGCACTGCCCTCTCTCAAGGCCCCAGAGGCCAGATGAGTAACAAATGATAAATTAAGCAAGAACTTGCTTTTGGCCTGGCCCTTTGGGAAGAGACAGTATGCAGAGGATTGCCCTCCACTCTCTGATGCCCTATAGTCTTACCCGCAAACCAACCCTAGGAAGAGGACCACCAGCCTATCTCCTGGCTACCACACAGGTGATGGGAAACTCATCTCTCTGAGCCTCCACCAGGAAAAGGAACATGTGGCTTTTCATCCCAGTTGCTAAGTTAGGATTCTGGACATCCCTTCTCTTGCTTTACCAAGCATGCAAGTTCCTCTCCATATTTAGGGCTTGTGTTACAAGAGGTAAGGATTACAGAATTATATATACTGTGGATGAGACCTAGTTTGACCATAGTACCCTCCCAAGGTCAGAGGGCAGGTTAGGAGCAGAGCAGGGAGAGAGGGCAGAGCTAACTCCCAGGCCACTCCTCCCCAGTAGGCACATCTGTGCCAATGGCCTGGGGCTCCTAGGAAAAGCCACTAACGACATAAACCCAAAGCAGGCTTGCTCCAGGAAGAAGGGTCACGTCAAAGCTGCTCCTACCTCCATGATTCCATTCAGGCCACAAGACAGCACTCAGCCACTGCCCAAATCGTGTCCGGAGTCCTCCGGTACAGCAGGGCCCTTTAACTGTTTAGAGAAGCCTCTCTTTGGAACCCAGGCCTAGGCATGCACCAGATCCTCAAAAGTGAACCCCTAGTCCAGAGCTGAAGAAATGTTCCCGGCTCAACTGGACCTCAGGATCAGAGATGAAACTGCTCGGATGGTGACATTTTGTCCCACCTCCTCATCCACCAAGAGGGGGCAGCCTGAACCCGACCACCAAAGTTGGTCACTAAAGACCAAAAATAGCCAGAAAGCCATCCTCGCGGGCAAGCCAGGTTGGGATTCGCTCAGCCAGAAGATTGGGGATGTGTATCTTCTTGGAGGAGGTGGACTGGCGGGGGCCGGGGGACGCAGCTCCTGGAAAGCAAAGTCCAGACCCCAGCGCCCCATGGAGCCGCCCCTCAGATTGGCTACCTACTGTCTGCGATCTGCGTCCTTGTCCGCGCGGGGGCTCTGGAAGCCCGACTCAGCCTTCGGCGCGGCGACCCACGCTCTGGGCACCCTTCTGCGGCTCTCGCATCCCGCGCCCTCCAGGCGGACGGGCCGCGCCTTGACCTCTCCCCTCGCCATCGCGGCACCGCGGCCAGGTGCAGCCTCCACCCGGGGGTCCCGGCGTGCGCGGGTGGTGCCGGGTCCTCGGCGCAGCGCTGTCCCCGCCCCCACCCGGTGCCCCAGCCTGGAGCGCGCGGCTCCTCCGCCGCTGCCCATCCCGCGGTCCCTCGCGTCCCCGCCCTCACCTGGGGTTCGGAGGCAGCCCCAGCCCTGCGCAGCCTCACCGCAAGGCCCCGGCGGCCGGCAGCGGCTGGAAGAGCAGCTCTGCTCGTTCGTTCGTGCAGACACCCGCGCCGACCCCGCTCGCTGCGTCCGGGCCCCGACTCTGCGCGCATGCCCGACTATATACCCCGCGCGTCAGCGGCCGGGCCCGCCTCCAGCCCGCCCCCGGCCCGCCCCGCTCGCCCCGGGACTGCCACGTGGGGCCGGCGCGCCGGGGACCTGGCCAGCCTGCGTCCTCCTGCGCCTCGCAGCCCTGGCTGTGGTAGGCGCTCCCACCCTCCATCCTCCAGCCCCGCCGCGAGCTCTGGCCGTGACTTCCGAGGGCCCCCTCCTGCTTCCGAAAACCTCCCGGGAAGACCTGCTCCCCGGGCGCGGAAAACTTTCACCGCCTGGCCTCCACCCCGCACCGCCTGGAGGAGAGTCCTACCCACTCGATTTGAATGTGCATTTTACCACTGCTGGTTCACCCAGAAAACTTCTCTTCCCTCCCCAGTTCGGAAAGGTACTCTAGAAGGGGATGCGCCCTTAAACGATGTTTCTTCTGCATACTTCCACCAGCCAAAAGAACCAAAATTCCCTGGTTGAGTTCCAAATAAACCATATTATATTCACTTTTCAGACTTGATGTTGCACCGCTTTCCACTGTGATCAGACGCCTAAGGAACCCCACTAACCCAAAGTTGGGAGAAGTGTTCACTTGGGGGTGAAAAATGTCCCAGGAGACTCTTCAGCTGTGGGACAGTCCCATTGAGATGTATATCAGGCCTGGGAAACGCAGATTTCTTGAGAAAATAAACCATCCATTCGATTCCCATTGTTCTGCTCTGCGGCACATCAGGACTATTTCCTCTATGAGCTGAGCTAGTTGTCACCTGAGCTCAGAGGAAGGGCTTTCTAGCCCAACTGTCGCTGGTTAATTCTCGGTGCCGCTCCTAGCCCAGTGACTAGTGCCCAGACAGCACTAGCTGTCTCTGAAATTGCGCAGGGAAGGGGCAACATCCCACTCTCTGCAGGTCTTGCAGGGAGGACCCCCGTGATGGCGGTGCTAAGGAGGAAAGAAAGCAGACAGTCCTGGAGCTGGTGGCAAGAAGAACTGAGCAGCTTCCTCTTTGCCAGGCCAGAGTGGGCCAGGTTGTTCATGTTACTTTGGAAGAGACAAGCTGGGCCCCAGCGTTTCTAAAATTCAATTATCCTCACCCTGTAATTACAGTGCTGCAGTGGTTATGGGGGCAGCGGTGATATTCCTTTCATTTATTTTCCAAGTGATTTCAAAGTGATGGTATCTCTTGCAGAACTTCCCTCAGAGACCCTTCATCTTTGTAAGAACCCTTTCTATTTCTCTCTTGGTTAAACTCAGTGCTTTCCAGACATTCTGTAATCCTTGTGGGACTCCCATCCCACTGTAGTGGGCTGTCAGAAAGGGGCCAGTCCCCATCAGCCTTTTGTTGAAGCACCGGAAAAGGAGTAAGCCCACACAGAGATAAAGTGAAATAAACATGCTTCCAACACACAGAGCTCTGAAGGATATGAAGCCCTTATCCTAAAAGAGTGTTAATCTCTTTTTTTTTTTTTTTTTTTTTTTGAGACGGAGTTTCACTCATGTTACCCAGGCTGGAGTGCAATGGCACGATCTCGGCTCACCGCAACCTCCGCCTCCTGGGTTCAAGTGATTCTCTTACCTCAGCCTCCCCAGTAGCTGGGATTACAGGCATGCACCTGCTAATTTTTTGTATTTTTAGTAGAGATGGGGTTTCACCATGTTGGCCAGGCTGGTCTTGAACTCCAGACCTTGTGACCGCCCACCTCGGCCTCCCAAAGTGCTGGGATTACAGGCTTGAGCCACCGCGCCCGGCCGAGTGTTAATCTCTTAAAACCAAAGTCGGAGAGCAATTCCATCGCTTTTCCAGGCAAGGTGTCAATACTGCCCACAGGAGAACTAGACAACCTTCAAGGAGATTGCACGGCAGAGAGGGGGCAGGACCGGACACCCCACCACGGGGCCTATCACGGAGTTCTCACTTGTTTTCAACTACACCAAAGGTTGAGCTGCCAAAGTCCACATGGGCAAGCACAGTTGATAAGCTATCAGCAATCCATTAGGGAATACAGTTAATTATTAACAAAAGCTCTTCACTCCCCATATCTACCCACACACAAAATTCTTTAGGTATCCCCTAAATCCTTCCTTATTGCTGGGTAGTTCTCAGTCTCTCATTCCTCCTGCCAGGCTTGGAGGCCCCAGTTCTCTCTGCTCTCCACTTTAAAAAAAAAATTTTGAAGGGCCGGGCGCGGTGGCTCAAGCCTGTAATCCCAGCACTTTGGGAGGCCGAGGCGGGTGAATCACAAGGTCAAGAGATCGAGACCATCCTGGTCAACACGGTGAAACCCTGTCTCTACTAAAAATACAAAACATTAGCTGGGCATGGTGGCGCGTGCCTGTAATCCCAGCTACTCAGGAAGCTGAGGCAGGAGAATTGCCTGAACCCAGGAGGCGGAGGTTGCGGTGAGCCGAGATCGCGCCATTGCACTCCAGCCTGGGTAACGAGAGTGAAACTCCGTCTCCCCCCCCCAAAAAAAAAAAAAAAAAAAAAAAAAATTTTGAGACAGAGTCTCACTCTGGAACCCAGGCTGGAGTGCTGTGGCACGATCTCAGCTCACTGTAACCTCTGCCTCCCAGGTTCAAAGTGATTCTCCTGCCTCAGCCTCCTGAGCAGCTGGGACTACAGGTGCCCACCACCCTGCTTAATTTTTTTTTTATTTTTACTAGAGATGGGGTTTCACCATGTTGGCCAGGCTTGGTCTTGAACTCCTGAGTTTAAATGATCTGCCCACCTCAGCCTCCTAAAGTGCTGAGAATACAGGTGTGAGCCACCTCGCCTGGACTGGGCTCTCCACTTTTTCCTCTCATTACCCATTTTCACTTGTCAAAATTCTTTTTTTTTTAACTTTTATATTCAACATGGCAGAATTTAACTTATCCAAATTCTAACTCTCCAAAGTCACCTCTTGTCTGCAAGCTTCTGGATTCTTCTGAAGCATGTTTGAGCTACCCTTTCCAATTTTTTGACTGTAACCCACATTAAAAACATTTAACACTACAACTGCAGTATAAATAATGTAGCAAACAAAAATTTTACAAAATATCCATAAGATATGCAATGCAATGATATTTTGTTATAGTTCAAGTTCTTGAAAAAGTGGTAGCAAACCCACTAAGTTGACTTCATGACTATTATTAGGTTGTGAAACCCAGAATTAAAGTTTTATATGGTTTATGGTACTTATATTTTTTCCCTTAAAATTATTTCACTTTAATCGCTAACCTTATTAGACCTTAATCTGCCTCGATTACATGAGATTTCGGTATATACTTGTATCTCCTAATGTAACATCTTGCACATAACAGAGTTTCAATAAATATTTGCTGGATGAATGAATGGGCTGGCTCAATAAAAGTTTGTTATTGGGCAATATTTAAGGGAACTTAGCACAAAAGTCTGACATTTTCATTGCTACTGTTTCCCTTCTGACAAGACACCACAGCTACCTGCCAAAAGATACATAGACAGATTTCCCGTAGTTGAGGTGAACAGAACAACCTTGGGAAATAAGCCAGAGAAATGAGATTCCAGCCCTAATTGTGCCGAGTGAGCTGGGGACTCCAGATGAAAGCCCTCTGTGCGGTTTGTGGTGACAAGGTAAGCAACCTGATCAGGTGGACTGAGTGAGATCCCTCTGCACCCCAGGTCTCAGGCCGGCTGTTCTTTTTATGAAACGGAGTTTCACTCTTGTTGCCCAGGCTAGAGGACAATGGTAGGATCTCGGCTCGCTGCAACCTCCACCTCCTGGGTTCAAACGATTCTCCTGCCTCAGCCTCCTGAGTAGCTGGGACTACAGGCACACACCACGATGCCTGGCTAATTTTTGTATTTTTAGTAGAGATGGGGTTTCACCATGTTGACCAGGCTGGTCTCAAACTCCTGACCTCAGGTGATCCATCTGCCTCAGCCTCCCAAAGTGTTGGGATTACAGACATGAGCCACCATGTTCGACCTTAGGCCAGCTTTTTTTACAGTCTGTCCGGAGATCAGTGATCAGATTTCTCTGGTACCTTCTTGGAAAAAAATGCATTCTCTGTTTTGGCATGGCTTAACAAATTTAAGAGGATTGAAAGGAATGTGAAAGTTCTATTCGACCCAAAATCACATCAGAGGACTCAAGTACTAGGTCCTTCCATTGTCAGCTGAAAGAGAACAGCTTTAGAGGCCTCGATGTTCATTTCTGTTGTCATCGGATGGTTTTGACACACACAAAAAAGACAACTAGGAAAAATACTTGGTTTAGTAAGCTGTAGAAATCTGTCCATTTTAGCTAAGTTGTCTAATTTTTTGGCAAACAACTGTTCAAAGTATTCCCTTATAGTGCCTTTTTTTTTCTTCCCTCTAAGGTTGGTAATAATGTGCCCTCTTTCATTCCTGATTTTAGTAATTTGAGTCTTTCTTCTCTGTCAGTCTAGCTAAAGGTTTGCCCATTTTGTTAATACTTTCAAAGAACCAACTTGTTTTCTTGATTTTCTCTATTTCTCTGTTCTCCATTTCATTAATTTCTTTCCTGATCTTTATTTTTAAAATATTATTTTTGTCCTCACCTGTGAATGAATATTTAGTTGGGAATAGAATTCCAAGTTTAGCAGTTCCTTTTTTTTTTTTTTTTTTTTTTTACATTTTTTTTTTTTTTTTTTTTTTTTTTTTTTTTTTTTTTTGAGACAGTCTCATCTTGCTGCTACCTAGGCTGGAGTGCAGTGG